AAAACACACTGCCACCATTCTTCTGCTATTGTTACTTTACTTACACACTTTGAAGCAAATGCTGTCTTCCACCTAAAATGGAAAAATTAATGAATGAGCCCTTTCCACTAACTCTTGCTGCCACAGTCAGGAATTTAGAAGATACATGAAAATTACATAATAGTTACCCGTCTGAAGATTAACCTTTTAGACTTGTCTGTATATTAAACAGAGCTGGAATTTTTCAAAACAGTAACACTATTTCCTCCTTATGCTTTTTCACTTGTTCACAGATCAAATACTTAAATACTTATTTTTTATAAGTATTCTATTAGAACTTATGGTCCAACTCAAAGCCCTAAGTATTATCTTCATCCCCATAACTAGTGTAGAAAGGCCTAAGTATCTGCTAGCAGAGACTTAATAAGCTTTTGCCAACAGTATATAGCAGCACAAGTTGCTGTATGTGCATAACTACTTCATTTCTGATCATGCAAGAAGAAGAAAAAAACCCACATCTATTTTTACTATTGTCAATTTAGTAACAATTTAAAAATAACATTAAACAGAAAGCTACAGTGTTGAGGACTCACTCCAGGTCCCTTCCTTCAAATTCCTTTACTACGCATGCAAATAAAATTAAAAAAATATCTTGGGAGTCAATGGAAATGGACACAAAATCCACCAGCCTAATAATCACACTAGCTGGGTGGTAGTACATCCAGTGTTTCCAAGGAATTCTTGCCTCTATGAAACATCCTGTAACAGTGGCCTGAGGGAAAAAAACTTCAAAATAAAGATACAGGAATTCAGAATACTGTGCTGTTTATTCACCCTTTCCCTTAACTCATTTCAATGTAACAGCCCTCTAAAACAAGCAATCCAAAAGCAAGGAAAAGATAGTTTTATCTGAGAGTGCAAACTAACTCTAAACTCAGTCTAACTGGGTGCACTGTTTCAGTGTCAGTAAATCTTCTGGTTTTAATTGATACTGTGTGTCTGAAATTCTGGGGTTTGAACCCCAAGCCCTGTATTAAGGTTGACGTATGGGTGATTCCCACAGCCCTTCATGAAGAGGTGGATAGCTCCCCCCCAGGGTGCGGCCGGCCCTGCAGGGAGAGCCAGAAGGGAAATGAGCCCCAGGGGTCCTGCATTGAGTTGACAAAGGTCAGGTGTCTGCTTGGGGATAAAAGCTGGGACCACTTGCAGGGAGTCAGGAGTGTCTGTCTGTGGAGTGGACGCACTTCACAGAGCTTCCTGGCTGAGGAAGGACCTCCTGACTCTCCTGTCAGATAGGGCCCTAGTCAGCTTGGACCTTTGCAGACACAGGCTAGGAGGGTGAGAGCTGCCATGTGGCCACCCTTATCTTAGGTGTTTAATCTGTTGACCTGGCTGTTTCCCATTCCAGCTATGGGAAACCTGGGCTCTTTGTTCCACCTATTGTTGGTCGAGCGATGTTGTTGTTGGGATCGTTGAGGGTAATGTCAATTTCATGTCAGCTAATTGACTTGTTTGCACCCCCAGCGATCATTCATGGAATGTCTTTTCTATATTCAACACAGTCCACTTATGGTTTTGTCTTTCTGCTGGTTGTGTCACTCATGTTAGGCCTAGTCAGTGGCAAAACAGCATCGAATAATAAATACTGTAAACTCTGTGTAATAAAGACTAGAAAAACACCAAAGGAAGTTCAAATGATACACACAAAGGATGTTACTAGTCTCTACCTCTCCCATTTCTCTCTAGAATATCCACAGAATTATCCCTTAAGGAATGACAAGTAAATGCATAAATATATTTAAAACCAGAAAATATCTATTGTCTCTAAAACAAACACACCAGATGGGAGGTGGAAAGAATTCTAATACAACTTAAATCCCTTCAACCAAACACCACAAATATGAAAAATGGCTTAATCACAACCATATGTTTATGTGACACCAATATGGAGCAGAATTAAGGCTTATTTACGTTTGTCCATTTTAAAAACTGGTATGTTGAACTTTAAAGTCTTTGATTTACAAATTTTGCTTTTTGAATTATTTCAATACCAGCAAGTATTTATTTTTCTTAAAATCACTCATACTTGCTCCTCAATTCTAAAGCTGATTCTAGAAGAAAACTAAGTGACAAGAGTAGTTGGAGGAGGTTTCTGCGTGTCCTTTGAAAAAACTCAGCAATCTGGTTTTCTTCTTTCCTCCAGTAAGTGCAGTTAAGATCAACGCATGGTCTACCTTCTTTGAAATAACATACTGAAATCCAAGTCCTTTCACTAAAAATCAGCCTCAAATTCCCACTGAATTTAAATATCTTGAGCATACAAGTCACTGTTTCAGCTGTACATGAAAGCTTCTAGATAAATATTATTCTAATGAAGCTATATTTCTAATTAGCCTAACATACATAAGAGTTTCTCTTTATAAATTCTGGCTCGTTGCTTAAAGTGTAAATGTTTCTAAAAATGCACAAGTTTCAGTAGATGTACATAACTCCTACTGTATCTGTAACTCCTTTTGTTTAACTTCACAACTGTTTTCTTTCCTTATATTGGTTTGAACAAAGAAGAAGAAAAGGCAGTATAAAAAGAAGACAAAAACTGCATAGTTCTTGCCACACTATCAGTGTGTGAAAGTTCTACACACTCTTTTTCCCTGGCATACTTTGTGTCTTCAGTTCTCCTAACTGATGGACTTTTCTCCACAGTCCAGATATTGCTGACTACTGCTCAAACTGTGAGGTAAAAATCTCAATTAAAAACCCTCAAAAGCCAGCATTAAACCTTCTAAAACGAAGAGTAAAGCAGCTTAAAAATGTCAACCCTGTGACAACAATGCATTTGACACTCATATGATTATCTTGGATGTCCAAAGATTTTTGACTCTAAAAGCCCAAGTCAAGTCTATTTCTGACTTCCCTCGTATGAAAGGATACTCAGACATACAGCTAGCGCAAATAGGCAGGTAGCTTAGAAACAGACAGGAAGGTACTGCTGACTTTTAAAAATAAATTGAAAAAGAATTTCTGTCTTCATTAAAATGTACTTGATATCTGAAATTTTGCAATGTACTACTCACCAGAAATCCAAGGCAAAATGAACAACACTGTTTAAAAGTGACAACCACCCCAGGAATTAAAATCCTGCATATAATGTGGGAATGGAACCACTTGGAAGAGAGGTAAGCAAGAATAATGGCCCATATTCCAAAACTTAGCATTTCAAACTTCTAACACTTCTCAAGAAGGACAGGATTAAAACCACAGTGACTTAGAAGCAGGGAAGCTTAAATACACAACTATCAAATAAAACTATTCTTCCAATATTTTTAACTCAGTATTTCACAGGACTTGGATTTAGTTCTTAACAGTAAAATTCAAACACAGATTTTTATTCACTGCCTTAACTTTTTCTGTATTATTAAAAGTGGTAAGGATACTTAACTCACTTAAGTGTTGTACTTCATTTTTTTTAAAGGAAAAAGGATCTCCTGAGAAGTATATATTTACAAGTACGAAGCTGATAAAGCACTGAGAAGCCCACGCCAGGTTTTGGCCTTTAATCTAAATACTGGGCTACAGAAGACAACAGCCTACATTCTACAAACAAAATTCTGTTTTTTTAATCATAAGGTCAAGGTGATACTCATTGACTGCATTAAAGAATAATTTAGATTTTAGAATTTTTAATAATATTACACACACACAAAAAAATATTTCCAGGAGGATTTAAGTATTTCATCTGGAATATCCTTCAAACACAATAAAAGAGTTCTGCTGCACCTCTAGGTACCATTTGTACACAGCAAGTACACTTGTACTTATGCTTACAATTTCTTTTTAAAAGCATATTGTTTCAAGCTTTTCTTCCTGTAATGAAAGCAATCATAAAATAATGTACAACACAACAAACTACTACCAACTATTGCAAGAGCTAAATTTGGAAAAACAGAGAGAAGCAGAAATATCTCTCTTAAAATTGTGACAAATGAGCTTCGTTAGGAAATACAATTATAGCTTTGGTTATAAACAGGTATATTCACTAGTTGGTTTATTTTAAACAGAGGGAGGAGAAAGATCCTTTTATGTTGTCCTGCTGTTTTAAGAGAACGTAATTGTACATAGAGTTAAAACAAATCTCAGGTGTGCTGTAAAAAGCTATCAGAAAACCAAATGTCCTGTTAACTCTACAAACAGATACCACCACTCAGAGCTTTATCTCAGGTTATGAATAGTTATTCAACATATCAAACATAAGCACTGACAGTTAAGTTTATCAAAGGGAGAAAAAAGAACTGGTATTGCCAAATAGAAAAGTCAGCGTCATTCACATGAGGTACATGACAGTACCATACACCAGGACAGCAAAAACAGTGGTTCCTTAATGGTTTTATATGTTACACACACCCCTTTTTAAAATTTATTACCATTATTCATAAATGCAAGTGTACATGAAATTAATGCTTCATTAAATAACAGATAAACAAGCTATAATTTGAAGAGTTCTATACAAAGCTAAAAACTCATATGTGTGTTTGAGAGAAATGTCTATATCTAAGGATACTTTGGTACTGCAAGCCAATGAAAAGTTTACTTAAAATATTCACATTTACCCTAACAAAAAGAACCAATGTGCCTTAATGCAAAGCAAAGTTTTGTATCCTTAGAAACAAGAAGCAAAATAAATTTGTTAACCTTATCATTGCCAATCAAACACTGCAATTAAAATTAAACTCTGTAACAAATTATGTCATTATACATAACCACAAAGGAAGTTAACAGAGAAAAATGAACATAAAGGGAAGAGGTACAAGAAGATTTAAAGTGATAATGGATCCTGATATCTAAAAGACTGCGAAGAATATTTCACAAGTAATATTTGCTACAGACCTTGCATTCACCATAAGCCATACTTACATACAACAACAAACTGGCATTTATTCCTCTTCCAAGACACACGAAAAACAAGATTTGCTTTGCAAAGAGAATGCAAGCCACAACAGTAAAGACCAAAATGTTAATTATACCTTATATTTGGTCATGGTGCTAAAATGGTTGTTCCTGAAGAACACACAAAGCTCTCCCTCCTGGACAGCTGAAGTCAATTCACATAGTCCATGGTATGTCAACTGTGTAGCTGTGTTATTTAGAAATTGCTCAGCTACAAATCCTAAAAAACCAATACATACTGTTATGTGTCTATTACATTCTTCCTAATATATAAATCCCAGTTATAATGGTAATATTTTTCCCATCTCCCTCCTACTAAGATGACCCCTTATTGTCACAAACTTAAGGGAACACATTCAGAGAGGGGAAAACAAGTTGAAAGTTCTAAAACTTAAACGTTGTAGATGACCCTTTCATGTTCAGAAATACTATACTTGCTTCTAATATTACTGATTTTTCCTGGTCATAATGTAGCATACAATTCATATTCTAACTGTAGGAGATACATAGACAAGCTGAAAATTTGGATGCTATGCATAATACCTTTTCATAAAATGAAGTACTCCCCAGCTTTTTAAAAAGTATGTTTAACAGATTGAGAGAACGTGGATGATACTTGGTTTGGAAATACTTGGTTCTGTTGCTTCTAAGCAATAGAATCTTAGAAGAGTCTGCCTGACCAGGGAAAGAAGTTCAGCAGACAGAATGCAGCTTTACACATGTTTATCTCTACATACAGAGAACCACATACAAAACACAACTGTGATTTGACAGGGCTTTGATAAAGCACAGGAAAATGTGTACCTACCTTCACTAACCAGTTCACTGTTGTCTGACTGTTTACAAGAAATGATCTTCTCCACTAGCTGATTGTAACTGCAGTTACCAACTGCTTTAACAATGTCAGCAACCTGTAGCAGGAAGGAACAGCACACAAAACAGTCAATTTTGTGAAGAACAGAATACAACTGGAAGCTTATGGCAATTATCCCCAAGAAAATAAAGTTTCAAAGAGGATGTTATCCCCCTAAAAATACTAGACAAAAATGTTTTCGCCCAGACTGTCACACATTTTTCCATCGCAGATGCCATTTTTGATACCCTTAGGTGTATGCTTAACATTAAAAGCTGTTGCTAAAGCAGACAGAGGAGAGAATGGGGCATCAGCTGTCTCATCTGGGCTGGAGGAGAAGTCCAAGAGGTTAAGAGGACAGCAACTTACAAGCAAGGCATGAAAAGAAAAAAAGTCTAAGGCAGATTATTCCAAACTCACCAGTTTGCCCCTAAATAAACAGTAAGAGATTACTGTTTATTAAGTAGTATCACTAAAAATAAATTGTATGTTTGTTAAAGATGCAGTTCTCTGGTTCTAACATCCCAGTTCTCAAAAGCAGGGACCAGCAAATCAGAATTAAAGAAAAGAAGAAAGTACCTTGCATTCCCTCCAAGTGTTCTCTAATGAGTTTTCAAAAATATTGACTGGGACACCGTTCCTGGCAACTTCCTAACTCCCCGCAGAAAAATAATTTCCATTTACACCCTCATGAATTCAGCATAGTAGGCTTTGAATGTCAGCTTGACAACAGACTTCATCTCTGCAAATTTACCACACTAAAAACACATACAGTCTTGTATTCACTCTTCTATGAAGATTTTTTCAGAGTAGAATTTAAGAAATCTATTACCACAATAGTAATTATTGACCTCAGTTAAAATTCTGAAACAGCTTCCCTCCTCCCAATAAAATTCAGAGTAACTTATATTCTCTTTTATTTATTGAAAAAAATAAATTACCTGAGGGTCCACTAACCATCCATGGTACAAGGGTATATCAAGAAGATCAAACACTATGCATTCAGGTGTGTATTCAAACACTCGTACACCCGTAAACTTCACATTGACATCCAGACCCGTCTGTAACTTATGCAGAATTGCCATTGCATCACTCATATTCTGACAGCAGAAAAAAAAAGGAAAAAAAAAAATTACCAAATAGAGCTTTGTGCACTTGGTGGTTACTCTTGTAACCCTTCACCACTTAGTACTAATTAACTCAACATTTCAGGGGAAAAAAAAAAAAAAAACCAAAACAAAACACACAAACCCACAACTTTCCAGAAGGATATATTACCTAAACAAATGTTTCTATGCATATTCACATTACCCATTCCCATTGTGCCAGAAGAGAGATGTAAGATAATTCTCCCTCCAATCAGCTGTATCTAACTGACTTCCACTTTCATAAACTGCTTTTAGGCAGCTTCTAATTCTTTTAGCTCTATTTCCCATAGCCACAAGCCACATGTTTGCAAGAAGAACTGGACTATAAGACAATTTGTAAGGGACTCTGTTGAGGTTTCTTCTTCTCTTTTAAGTCCTGTCCTATGAGTAAGGCTGAAGTACTTGTCACCACATAAGGATCAGAAGAAAACAGATGTACATAGATCTACATGCCAACTTCAATTTTGGGGTTCAGTTCTTAAACCATGGAACAAAATAAAGAATCTGTTTTTTTTTGTCATTGTTTCATTAAAAAATGTTTTGCTATCTTATTTTGGGCGTACCTTTAAGTGCCTGTAGATTCTACTGTGGAAACAAGCCATGAAAGTAGCCCTTATAGCAGTGATCCCAATGGAATCCTAAGGGAAATTATCAAGTTACGAAGATCCAATCACACAAAGCAAAGTTAAGCCAAAGAAGTGCTTTGTGAGACAGTTCACTTGAACCAACAGACAAATAAGTTTCCTGACATGCAGATAAAGAATTTTCCACCAAGTGAGAGGAGTCCACAAAAAGTATCATTACTAAGTATTTGCAAAAGATTCAGGGAAACCAGGGCACTTTTCTGTTTGTTATTTTGGGCTTTGGGGCTTAGTTTTGCAACATGCTGTTGCTTAAGAGGAATTTGGGATTGCAACAAGAGGAAAAAAAAGCATGACAAAAAACAGACTGGAAAGGAGATGGAGACTGAAGATTCACAGACTAAGCCCAGTGACTGTTAGAGATGGTTGTGTCTTTGCTGTCCTCTTTTAATAAGACAGTTAATGGCAAGAACCACAATTAGTGGAAACAATAAGGGAAAATATAAAAATGAGAATAAAGATGATTGACTATTAAGAAGGAATAAGAAAATCAAAATTAAAGAGCTAGGAAGGCTAACAAGGCATGAGGTACATAATGAATTATTATATCTAATTAAAAGCAACTTGCTGAAATCCAAGCAAATTACAAATAACTGAATCCATTAAACAATAACATAACCAATACATTAACTTGAACACAGTTTCTGCAGCACACTAGTGCACACATTAAGAGATAGAACAGAATGCCAACACAAGCCCATATATTAGAACCTAAGGCAGACCTTAGTACTTTTAAGAAGTCTGTTTAAGAAATCAGTCTATGCATCTCAACTTGGTATTGTAAAGAATGTACCAATTAAAACATACAACACTAAGTACACATACTAAGTGAAGTAGCTACCTCATTCAACACTTCATGATCCAATTCTAAGCACAGTTTTGCATCTGTTGGAAAGATTAACATTATCTAGATCTTGGAAGAAGTTTTAGACCTCTCTCAGCATGCAACAATTCTAAAACAAAACTTTTATGTAAAAATTGTGTAAGCAAATATATTTATGTATGTAGAGCATGTCCAAAGGAGAGCCACAAAAGTGACTGAAGGGCTGGAGTGCCTTTCCTATGAGGACAGGCTGAGAGAGTTGGGGTTGTTCAGCCTGGAGAAGAGGTTGCACCGGGGAGACCTCATAGCAACCTTCCAGTATCTGAAAAGGGCCTATAAGAAAGCAGGGGAGGGACTATTCACAAGGTTTTGTAGTGACAGGATGAGGGGTAATGGCTTTAAGCTAGAAAAGGGGAGATTTGGGTTAGATATTAAAGAACTTTTTCCTAACATGAGGGTGACAGATTACTGGAATAGGTTGCCCAGAGAGGTGGGGGAGGCCCCATCCTTGGAGACATTCAAGGTCACACTTGATGAGGCTCTGAGCAGCTTGATCTAGTTGGATATGTCCCTGCTTATAGCAGGGGGGTTGGACTAAATGACCTTTGGAGGTCCCTCCCAGCCCAAACATTCTATGATGTATATATGTATGTATATTTATGTAAAACAGTCTCACCTACTGTGTGTTTGCACAAGACTTTACACAGGCAATAGCATGATTTCATTAAAGCATTTCACATGTATCAATCTCAGCACTTTAGCCAAAGGAATTAAGCTACTCCTCCTACTGGTATGCAAGTTTAAATGTATTTTATTAAGAAAACTAGAACAATAAGCTAGTTCCTGCTTCAAGCAGTTTAGATGCAACTTCTGAGAACCCCTAAAGGTTATATACATACTTCCTTGTTACTACACAGATTTAAACCTGGAAAGTGCTCAGAAGAGTTGAAGCTTACACAGAAAAGCTTAACTGCTTGATAAAGCACAGCTATAAAGCACTGCCATGGTCACTATCCAGCATTTGCATTTAGAATGGTTGCTGTGAGTGAGAGCATTTTACTGCTTGTAGCCCTTGTAGCTGCACTGTTGTGTAAAGCTGTTACTACCAGGAAGGTAACAGTTCCCACTGCTTTACTACATTACCTCATCCATTTGACAATTTTGTTATGTCACAATATTTACACTTTAGGAAGATTTGTAAGTCGTTCTCAAGATGTGGCTCAGTTTTTAGCATTACAATAGCAGAGCAAACTATCTCACCTAAGAAGGGAATTTCATTAGCAGGGACCAGACAGCAATTATAAAAACCTAGTAGAGGCCTTCTGGAAGAAATACTATACTCTTACTCTGCTAGATGAGCAGGAAGAAAGTCAATAGCAAGTCAGCATCAGCCATCCACAAATCCAGATCATACATCGCCTGCATTTATTTTGTAATGTTTACTTTGTAAACAAAGCAGTACCACATCAAGCTGTCCAGAAAATTGCATGTTTCTCACTACAGTTTGAACACACTCGTTGCTATTTTAGCTATTTCTGCACCTTCAAAGCTAGAAGCCTCTAAAAGAAAAAAAAAAAAAAGGCATGCAAATAAGTAAGGATATAAATACACAGAAAAACTGAGCTTGGAAGGGACTTCTGGAAGTCATATGGTCCAACCTCTTACCTAGAGCCAGTGGCCAAGGATCATGTCCAGACAGCTTTTGAACCTCTAAGAACGAAGACTCCACAACCTCCCTGAGCAACCTATTCTTAAGGTTGTGCAACACAATTTGTGCCTTTTTTTTAAAATCAAATTTTCATTCAAATAATTAAATCCCTCAAATATGGTATAAAGAAAGTCACAGCTGAAGTGAGTATCTTGTCATGATGTTGAAACTATATTAAAATCAAGCATTACAAATCCATCTGTCCAAAAAATTTACTTGAATTTCTTGTATAAGAATACATATTGTTTTGGGCAAAGAATATTATCTGTGTGACAAGATGTCATAAAATTATAATTAACACAAAGATTTAGTTCCAATGTTTCTGCAATGTCATAATTTTGTAAGACTCAGCTGCCTAATTAGTTTCTTTTTCCCCTCTCATGTGATAACACTCACGCACCTACAGGTACATTTAAAGAAACATTTGGCACAGGAATTTTCTAAAATTGGACAGTTGAATGCTTAAGGAAAAGGTTTGTGATGTTTACATAGTAAACCCATACAGCTGACTACAAGAAAGCCACAGAGGTTGTACTTCATCCAGGTGTATGGTTTTCATCACCCTTCTGTAATCTGATTATACCAATAATCTTCTCCATCAGAGTTGTGTGGGAAAAAATGCAGCTAATTGTTATAGCAAAAATAATTCATATAATGTGATAGAAGAGGGTTTTTATTAGTAGTATTACAAGAATCCACATTCTATCTTCATTCTATTTCAACTATCCCAAGATAATCAATTTGATTTTCAATACTGAATGAGAGCAAGACAAAAAGATAAATAGAACTAGCTTGAAATTTAACACATAAAGTCAAATCACTTTTCCATGAGTAATCAAAAACAGCTGTGATCAGACAGCTTGAAAAAAATTTGTTCCAAGATAATATATAACACATTATTTCAAAAAAGATAATAGCATTATCTTTAACATAAAAAGACTTCTGTGATGACATAAAAATAGGGGTCAATGCAAATAACATTGCCTTTCATAATATTGAATCAACACCTTTTTGACCATCATGACTTATGAACAGAGATCTCTTTCTTGCTCAGTTTACATCCTCGGATAAAGTCCAGTAAGCATCAGAGAACAAAGCACACTGAAGGGTGCATAACAGAAGACTTCAAAGAGCAAATACCCTGTTACATAATTTCATTTGCACTTCCACATTGTAATTTCTCAATAAAACCCAAATTCTTTTGTTACACTCATTGCAGGCTAAAAAAAAAATAAATTTCTTGTATTAAGAGATACTTTTCTCCTCACTATTAGGAACTATTTATAAATAATACTCCACACCAAGACTAGAAAAAAAAGAAAAGATAATTACAAACAATGGGTTGCATGCTTTTTTAACAAGATGATAAACCTTAGGTGAGAAAAAAAGTTTTAGTTTCTTCAGACATAAGCAATTGTATTTTAGAAGCAGCTCCTTACCTGCTCATAATTTAGACGCTGAATTTCAGATATCTCTTTAGGCTTTGCATCAAGAATATAGTCTCCTAAAAGAAGGCAAAAATAAAGTTTAATCCACACTCAAAGCTTCAACATTTCTGTGAACACTTCTAACTGATCATAAATACCACCACTGAAGCTTTACATCAAATTTATGATGTTATATTGGTTTATAACTGAATTTTAACTATTGACTAAAATATAAATATAAAAAAAACACGGTAAGGTTGTATTAAGAAAATAAAATTCAAATGGCCAAGGCTGTTACTAAACCAGTCTTTCATAATCTCTTGGGCTATCATACCAATCTCTTAAGCAAGACATATACCTCCCTCTATATCTCAAATTAAGAATATAAAATGGTCAAACTGTTCACAGTAAGATACATAATTTCGTAACAATTTAAAAATGCAACCACTTATCTTGACAGATACTATGAATATTTTGGCATGTTTCCATACACAACTAATTCTGAAAGGCTTGTATTCCATCTGTGTCTCCAACAAGGGTAATTAATCAGTAAGTCAGCACACCAGGGTTCAAGGTTTGTATTGTTTTTAGTGATTAGTATCCGTAAACTGTCTCTCCCAAATTTTCAGATTTTATTTTGGTGCTTTTCATATTTATTCCCTTATTCCATTCAAAAAAAAAAAATGTTTCTATTCATAGAAAAAAAAAATATAATTTTTTTAAATGAACCTGTAGTGGTTTCATAATCTATAATCTTTTCAATTAAGATTGTGAAGTGGTTGAAGGGTTTTTCTTTTTTAACTTTAAGCTGTAGAAGAACCATTTAGCAACTTCTAATCTTGTTGACTGAATAGGAACCTAAATAATTTGAGCAGGTAATTGTTATTCAATTTAATAAGATAATCCCAGAAACTAATACATGCCTTCAAGAAAGAATCCACACATTTAGTCAACTGTGATTATGCAGTGACTTGAGACAGCATTTTTCTATCAGTACGACATGAAACGTTTAGACACAGGCACCAAGATTTAAGATTTATTTTCTTGAAAGAATGTAATTTACTATTCTCTTCCACTGAAAGATTCAATAATATGCTTTTGAAAAGAATGAGCTATGTTCTTTATGAGCAAAAAGAAAGAAAATATACTAAGTTGTGGGGGTTTTTCTCCTGCTTACGAAAAAGAAACAAACCTAGTCCACTAGACTCAACCACTTCACATTTGTTAGGCTACAAAGGGAAAGAACTATGGTACGTACAGCTTAAATACTATCACCACTGCACTTCTAACGCCTGGATTATTAAACACCAGGCTACTAGAGTTACAGACCTACCAGGTGGAAACAGGCTAGTTTTGCCGAATATGCAATCTGATAACAGTACTGCCTGCAAATGAGACCCAAATCACTGTGATGACTAAATGAATTTTTCCTGTTACTTTAATTTGGTCATACTACCAAGGATTAGAGTTACTGCAGACAATTAAAGGCACAGTTGATTTAGTACCTTCTGTCAACTATAATGAAACAACACTGTAAGAGACATGAATAAGTTTTTATTATCAACATGTTGGTGCACTAAGCCATACCAACTGCATCACTAGACTAACCACTTAGGAAAACAATACAGAAAACTTCTAAAAGCAATTGAGGAAAAGCATGAGTAACTGAATACTGCACATAGTTTTCTTGAAGCATGCATTCAAGTAAAGCTGAATAAAATAGTAAATAAAACAGCCCTCCTATATTACTATCCACTACTAACTAAAAGATATAATTGAAAACCATTTATTTTAATTACTAACCTAAGTATTCCATTAGCTGTTCAGCCGTTATGATTTCCATCATTGGTGGCAGCTTAATCTATGAAAGAAAAGTATAGTCTCTTTAAAATGTCAAGACACTATGATTTTGAAAGTATCAATAACGTATTTCTAGGCAGAAGTCTTCTGATCACATCTGCCTCAACAATTCAAGAGTATTAACATACTGGAGACAAGAACCTTCCCAAGACCTCTACTAAATAACAGCTACAAGAAGAGACTAAAAAGAGGCCTTTTGTTTTTTTAGAGAAACCACATGCACACATACTTTCTCTCAGTTGCAGCCCTTCGTTTAGTGTTCCCTACTCCCACCAAAACATTTAACCATTGCCCTTGACTCCACAAGAGTTCATATCACTTGCTGCACTAGATCAGCTGAAAGCATCCAGGATGAACAGACTGGGAACTGCAGCCACACTTAGTTAAGAAAACATCTTATTCAGAGAAGTCTTTGACTCCCTGCCTTCATTCTAACTCCTAACTCAGAAAGATCCTCCATACCAATAAAAATCTGCAGAGAATCTGGTTGCAGCAGCTACTGGAACAGGGAAGCCAAGGCTAAGGAAGGTATGAGGAAATGACCTCCTAGCCTCTCATCCCTTGCTCACATTTCAATGGTTTTGTTTAACTCCATACACAGGAGACCGGACACACAGAACTCAGTGGTGAAGCTTCCATTCCCCTCTCCCCAGACCTACTCTTGTTATCATCACCTGCTATAACCAACCACTGTGGCAGCAGTCAGTCACAGACAAAAACATCTTACATCTTCATCTCCTTCACCTAGCATCCTGGGTATGTGTTTTGGTCTCTCACTTCCATTTACTTAACTCCCTGCAATAACAGCTAAAACACAAATGCATACAAAGACATACCTCTGGCAGTCTGGAGGAATACCATAGCAGTATATTGTCTTTAACCACAGTGTGCTCAATTTTTCTCTGCATATACATGAACTTTATTTTTCTAGAGCTTGGTTTTGGGGGTTTTTGGTTTGTTGTTTTTTAAACTTTTGCTTCATCTTTTAACCTACTCATCCTATCCCTCTGCAGCATCTTACCACAGCAGGTCTAATATTTTTATTAGGAATTTTTAAATCGAGTTCCTCAACACTGACAAGTGGTCTCCTTAACACATACAGAAAGACATGGTGTGAGATTGTTAACTCACACTGTGGATTTAATATGCTCCAACTACTTTGCTGGTTGTGGAGAGAAAGGAGGAAGTAGAAAGCCATGAGACTGGAGATCAGTACATAGAAAGCCTTTGATGCAGCATTCAAAAATCAAAAATACAGTGTATCATGGTGCTATTCTATTCACATTGTGATGGAGAGGATTTCCTTTCCAATCTGAAAGCAAAGTTATTTTAATAAGTTTCCAAAGAAAATGAGGTGTGATTGGACTAAATCTATCTCACTGCCAGCTTAAATCACACTTAACAAAAGGGAAATATGTTAAATAGGTAGATTAACAAGAAGATAGATTAAATGGCCTTGTTGTTTTTACAGGGGCTAAGAAATATGCCCACACTTAGGTCAGAATTGGCCACGCAGCATACGCCGCATTATTCAACCTGTAGATGGTAGACACAGAAAGAAGCTGACAGTATTGGAATCTGGGAAAGAAAGGGAATGAAAGTATAAATTGTTAGTAAAGCAGGAAATTAGTGAAGCGTAAATACATAAAAAAGGAGGCTTAATTAGTTGTGCTTATAAAAGAGAAAAATTTAAAATGGTATGAATTAAACAGGAAGAAAAATTAGTCATGCATGCACAGGCACATGAATTTTTCCAAAACTCCAAGTTACACTAATAACTGCTTACTTAAATGCTACACAAAGTTAATGGATTACTTCACAGCACAATTTTAGAGCTGGCATGTTTTACGGGACCCTGATCACACCTTTGAAGCAAGCTAATGGGATTCCAACACAGCTGCAAGTACTTCTGAACAGAGATGACTTCAGGATCTAGAGAGATCATGACACTTCCTAACTGCTCAGCACTTCATGACAAATGCTTAACCTAAAGGAAACACAAAGAGGAAGCAGGAAAGAAAAATACCTTAACACTTCATGGAGAGAAAAAAATCATACAGAATCAGTCACTCTCCACATAAATCAACAAAAGAAAATTTCAGCTATAGTACTGAAAGCTGTTACTGTCCATAATATTATCTTATTTTGAGGGACAAGTTTTCTCAAGAGGTTTCAGTGTCTAGTTTTCAGATTTTACGTTTTTTAAAAAACAGGTTTTCTCAACTCCCACTCATTTCCTGTACCTCTCTATTGCAGTATCCTGGTCTTTTGCCCTGATCTCTCTCTTCTTAGGTCTAGCCACTTTTCCATTTCCCACATTCAGGAGTGGGAAACTAAATCCTCCTCACTCTACTACAATGTGAGGTACACTTAAGCAACCTTTGCAATTAAAGGACAACACTGGTAAACAAATTTTCATATACGAGAGTTTGTCTAGTAGAACTTACGTAGTTTATATGCATTTGACTACAAACTGGAAAACTGCACAATACTAATTTAAAATATTTTCCACTGTATTCTCCCACTCTTCAGAAAGGGTGTAAAAAACCCCAAAATTATATAGTCCAGCACAGAAGCTAACACTTCTGCAAATACTATGCATGTACAAAGGGACCATGCAAATTTCTAATGGCTTATTATTTACAGTCTCAGAACATGTTATCTAAAATATGCAACTCCCCTGAATTCAGTGTTCCAGAAGAGGTAAGGGTAGCTTCAAGCTGCCTCGACAAAAAACAGTTAATGCTCTTTGCAAATACTTTCCTCTTGCCTTACAGGAACAGCTTCATAAACTTCTCAGATGATAGCCTGACAGTACATGCTGCCACCCAATAACCTTAACATTTCCTGCCTCAAACAAGTTTCCATCAGTTCCTCAGAGCAGGCTTCCTGTTCTGGAAAATGCACAACTATAGGCCTACTGATTTGTAAGCTCAACTCATCGCACAGATGCAGGGAGGAAGGCTGCCAAAGCCTCTGCTGAGCATTCATCAGAAGCTCACCAGCAACTCACCCTCAGAGGCTGAGTGAGTTCATATGAGCAATCTGTGCAAATTCTGACCATAAGGAGGTTTAGCTCAGTAACAAGAGAAAGCAGATCACATGCAAAGCGCCAATGCCAGACTTCAGACCAAGCAAACTCTGAAAAATCAAATTAGTATCAGCGGGAGCATACTGTACTCAGCTCCTCTAAAAAAAGGCCATTTTTATGAGAATCTAAACCCCAAAATTTCTAACTAGGAATTTTTTACTGTACCTTTTCTTACCAATCCAGTTGGGATAAGTCTAAGTATAAATGTTTATATAACATTTACTTACATAATTATTACAATCACCTAAATAGGTAATTCGCACCGCTCTAAGCGTTACTGAAGTTTTAGTAGAACTAAGCACCTAGGGAACACAGCTCCCAAAACCTTTCATTCACTGAGAGGACTGCGACAGAAAAAGCTTTTTTAAAGATGTTATCCAATACATTACTGAGATTATTCTCCTACATAAAAAGCTGTAAAGACAAGATATTCCATATGCCTTCACATCTCAAGACAGCATTAATATTATATATATTTTAATGACATTGTGTTTTCCCTTAGGCTTACTTTATGTTCCAAAACAATTTGTTTCTCTGCTTCCTGGACATTTCAGATATTAAATTTCTGTGCAGTATAAACTGAGGTTCAGAGTTCTTGGGCTACGTGATATCACACCCTAAAGAAACACAGAGCGGAATGGCACGGCACCCTTATTAAGCTCTTTACTTCAGATGATTGCTGTGGAGTATGTCCTGAGAAGGACTAGCCCTACACAAAACTGCAGCTTAGGGCAAATGTCAGAAGTTAGCAGAAAGTGGTGCGCAAACTACACCTAACAAAGATCAGAAAAAAATAGTTAGAAAAGCAAGTTTTGCATTGCTAAGCTTAATGACATAGTGAGACATGGGTCTGAGGCAAAACTGAGCTCGTCTTCTGATTTAAACAAGCTGAAAGACAGAGTCCTGTGCTACTTTGCATCAGAAGAGACAACCCATGCTTGTACAAACATTTTAAAATGTTTTTTTCAATAATCTATTTCTGCTTTCATTTCCGTCACAGGAGGCTAAACTGCTACCACACTGTTTTGCACAAGTTACTTTTCACCTTGGTATCACACCACTTTTGTCTTCTTTTTACTTAGAACATTTCTGCAACACTTTTGTAAGCATAAGTCCTTGGCTCTATCTCCTAAGGCTAAAGTGTCTTCAAGTTAAGCTTATACAGGCAGTCTGCAAAAACACTCCAAAAGAAAAACCATTTAATTGTAACATTTAAAGTTACATCTTCTACTATCTGCCACCTCAAAATTATGTCCAAACTTCTTTGAAAGCAGTGGATAAGAGAGGTAGCAGTTTTATCATGAGTTCCAAAACCGGTACGATCAAAAAGGTACTTGAACAATCCCAATGGGTGCTACTATTACAGATGTGGCACTGTACAAGAATGAATTATTTTTCGTTAGTCTTTATACCTGTATCCCTAAAGATCTTAACTCAAATATCAGAAATACTGCCAAAAGGCATCATAAAAACTGAATAATCATACAGTCATTTAGGTTGGAAAAGACCTTTAAAATCATTAAGTCCTACCATTAACCCAGCACTGCCAAGTCCACCACTATACCATGTTCCTCAGCACCACAACTACACATTTTTTAAGTCCATCCAGGAATGGGGACTCCACCACTTCCCTGAGCAACCTGGGTCAGGGCCTGACAACCCTTTTAGGGAAGAAATTTTTCATAATGTCCTCTGGTACAACAACTAAGAACGCAGAAGAATCTTGCTCTTTTAATTAACGACAGCTTCATAACCACTAGGAAGAAATATTTTGAGTATGTGGCACACTTGCCCAAGGTGCAGTATATCTGAAGTTTTCCTGTCATTGCAATTTTGCTTGAAGGACTGCAATCTACCTATAACCTCTCTTTGCTCAGGGCTATCTCAAAAAAAATCATTTTGTATGAGGG